CGATGCGTTACCGTGCCGTTACCAATGCCGTTACTATGCTGTTACCATGGCCGTTACGGAACACGTGCCGTTACCCATCCCGTTACCATGCTGTTACCATGCCACGCAACGCTCTCATTCCCATCGATAGGTGTAGAGTTGCCGCATATAAGGCGGAGCACCCGCGGTTTCTGACGTCCAGAACAATTTCAAAATCTGTACAGTTTTTATCAGACCGTTCGACCCCCATTTTTTAGAAAGATTTGGGCTAGCGGGAGGAAACATAGAGAGGCGTTGTGTTTTTGACACTTGGTGACGTTCCCTGACACACCGGGCGGACAGCATATCCGATGTACGAAAGAGGGACTACACAGAAGCGTGCATGTTGTGAAATGATAGGTCCCTTTAAGATATGGTAGGTGGTGGTTCCGTTAATATCATGGGCAGCAACTTTCATCCCAAACTGTTAGACCCCACTTGTCACTTTTTACAGTATTTTAATCCCCCCATGTATTCCCTAACCTTCAAGCCGAGTGGCAGGAACGTGGAGCGGGCATAGGAAAGGTCCGCTGAGTTGTTTTATTTATTATCGTGAGGTATTTTGGGGGGTTTGGATGGGAAAGCAGAGGAAAGGGGTTAGCTCAGTAAGCAGACCATTTTTCATTGATCTTGGACTGGCTGTTCATTGAACACGCCATTTCTACCGCAGTTTTCCAGCGCAATCACCCTCACAGTCCGCGCGAGCAAGAACGGATTTCGCGTTCTTTAGTTTAGAGCGCGTCAGAAGCAGTTTTGATCTGCCCCATATTTTAGCATTTTGCTGCTTTTTCTTTTGACTGCCTGTAGCTGCTTTTATATTACTGTAGTTTTTTTAACAAGGTTTTACATCTGTCGAAAGAAAAAGTAAAAAAGTCCTGCCCTGAGTTGTCGATTAAGATGTCTGGCGATACTGTGCCAAAGTTGTTGCCGAAGAAGCAATCAGCTCTTGCTAATTGATAGTATACCGGCATAAAACAAGTTCATCCCTGAACACAATAGATGCCCAGACCAAGTCGACGCCCATCCTGTCTGATCACCATTCAAGACATCTCAGTAGAAAGGTGAATCGCGCCAGTCTTGATGGCCAGCACTGCCAACGAAATTAGCACAGTTCATCCCTCCTCCCTCATCCTTGATTGTTTCAGGCGGCAAGCCTGCTCTTCAGGTTGCCCGTAGAAACCCAGCTCGGTCGCTATTTGTCTATTTGCCTTGCACGCGCTTGAGATCCAAAAGCCTGTCAGCCGCCGAAGGGCTCCTCTCATATTACGCCCTACCGCGTCCGATTCAACNAAAAAAGGCAGTTATACCAATGTTTCCACAGAGGTGACTGGTGTCGTACAGCACTGAAACACGGATTTGACAGCAGCATAATGACAGAGTTATGAGAAACATTCAATCGACAGATGAATTTGTACATTAGATTTCTCAAAAGAGCATGGAACGTGTTGACTCGTGCATTACAGAACATTTCACTTGCACTGCACCACCTATTAAAAACGATTATCCATTTACTTTGAAAACATCCATTTATTGAAAAAAGACATTTGAACAGTATGTTTTTAACAGTTGATTACCCTGAACTTTAATTATAATTCAACTGAAAAACCAATACAAAAAATAATTTAAAAAATAAATAAAATATCGTTTTATTTCGATTATGTTGTTTTAATAATTGTTGCAAGCCAAAATCGTAATTGCGTTTAAAATACGATTAATTGATCAGCCCTACTGCTGACCTCAGAGCTAATTTGTCACCGTTATCACCAGAGAGAGATCTGCAACGAAAGTCCGCAACCGATAGAGACTTTACCGCCAGCTCTCTGCATTTAATTAGATTCAGATTCACTGTGCTTTCCTTTTTCACCTCTCTTAACCAGCTGTCTGCAGAAGTCAGTGCATAAATGGCTGGCGGCTGAAAAGTGACTGGAAGAGTCCGGCTCAGAAAACGAAGCATAATGCTTTCTGTCTGTCCGCTTGATCTATGAGCCCTCTGCTTCAGCTCTTCCCACACGGAACAGAGATCTCTGCTGAATACCGGCCATTTTGAGGATCAATACAGCCTTGGACATTGAACAGGGAAAGTTCATTAAGCATGCAAAGGCATGTCACGATGAAGACATCTGAGAACAAATACCCGTATTGATTTGTGAGGGGGAGAGAAGGAGATTTGAGGGCGGCCTTTTGGGGAATTTGCCTTCGCACAACATTTGGGTTTTGGCTTTTTTCCCCAAGCTGGAACTGTTGGAGTGAGTGTGCCTTGATAAACTAAGACGTAATCCACCAAGCCCATTAAGCTTTATGATGTTGGGGTACTACGTTTGGCTTTTGGCGTAATAAATGTTGACGTCTCAAAAGTATGGTGGGCAACACGGGCAAATGTGTTATAATGGCCAAAAACACTTCAATTAGGAGAAACGTGCTGAATTTGAAAGAATATGAAGAAAAGAAAAAAAGCATGCAAGTGAAAGAACGTCTTCACCAAATTGACGAAACATGACCAGGGTTTAATAACCAGAATCATTTTTATGTGCAAAGTTTTTAAGTATCTCAAACCTTAATATGCTCACTTACCTATTTAAATGTAATGAGTACTAATTTGTCTTTATTTGTATTTCTAATGTTTGCTTTTTCTTTATATTTAACAAGCTATTAACATGTTTTATTATTGCTTGCCTTTTATCTGAATGTCACTTTTGCTTGTAAATGTCCCCGCTGCGGGACTAATCAAATAATTTTGAAATAAAAAACGCTGCAAGAAGCTCAAAAACAATGGAAAGGGGGACACTAAAAAGTGATGCACACAGCTGGGACCGGAGTGCTTTATTTGAAAATGTGTTTTGTGAAGCTCCAGGAAGCTGAAATAGCATTGTTATATTGTTGCTTTTCCTTTGTGGCTGCCATTTATGAAAATATACCCATTTTCAGGAGCAGAAAGCTTCGGAGATAATGCTCTTATAAACTCTAGATCAAACAAAGAAAACAGCTGCAGCACAATTCTGATGGTTTTCAAAAGCCTGCGATTCCTAGCATTCAGCATATCACATCCAACAAATAGCAATCATTTTGTCAGTGTTCACCTCAATGTTGCAGTAAACCCACAGTTGTATAATTCATTATTCTTCACTAGCAATCTTCAAGTCACAGATAATAACAGCTGTCAGGGATGACGTTCCAAAGAACTCAAACGATTGTATCACCATGAAGGCACTACTGCGTGAGGTGAGCTAGAAACTGATGTATAAATGATTTGCAATGCATTTCAACTACAAATAATGTTCATGACCTCTGAAGCGCTGTTTGGATAGATAGGTATTATGAAGGATCGTTAACCTAGCAGTAATGTGAGTATCATCTGTTGTTAATGTAATTAAGAGAATGAAGAATGGAGATGGGCCAGGGTTTAACCCCCCTCGCCCCCCTCCAGTTTGTGAAATCAGCACTTTCCTGAGGCCATTTCTAGGCACTTAGCATTAACATTCCCTCCTGACAGGTGAAACCTCTTGCTAACAGAGATAAAGAAATGAATAGCCTAATCAAATGCCATAAATGCCCGCTTGTGTCGGCGCCATGTGTGGACAATGTGGTTACAGAGGAGAGTGTCTACTATCTTGGGGTTATAAACCAGCAGCAACAGAAAGAAGGTGGAGAATGGGATTTGTAATTGGCTCACTGTTTGTATGAGGAAGGTTGATGTTTTGTTGAAAAGGTCACGTATACTTTTAATTTTGGAAGTTAGGAAAATGTTTAAGTCATAACATGAATTTTCGAAGGATTAAAGTCAGCTTCACTAGACGGTATATGTTGAACCTCTTAATGACCACACAAAGGATTATCCCAAAGACACAGCTGGTTGTGGTCAGCTAGCTTAGCATAAAGACTAAGCAGGGTAAAACTGCTAGCCTAGCTCTATACAAGTTAGTAAATACAATTACTGACCATATACAACTCACTTAATAATCTGGAGTGGAGTGCACCAGCTGGGCGTAAGCTGGGCGTAACTCTACGTCCGACGTAGAACCGAAGGTTAAGACCAAACTAAAGTTATGACTAGTGCACCACTTAGACTCAAGCCCTATACTGTATGTGTTGCGCCCGGGTGTAACTTTTAAGCCTAGTATGGAGCAGGCGTAAATCGGAAAGAGAGACTAGTATCCATAGTAACGTAAAACAGGCAAGAAGGAAAATAACTATGGCAGTGCGTCTTGTTTACATGTTGTAACAACGAAAGGGCATTAAGACGAGAGAGTCGTCCGTGATCGAACAAACCCACTGGACATCTATTCAGTGAGCTGATAGAGAGGTTTCGTTTCGGCAGACAAGCCCATTTTGATTTAATCGAGGAGATCTCCCCTCAACAACAGAACGGATCAGACAGAAACGGTGCGCTCTCCCCAACCTTGCAGGTGCTGATTGCGCTCAGATTTTACTTTAATACTGTGGGAGACATGATTAATGTTCATCGCAGCGATGAACATTAATCATGTCTCCCACAGTATTAAAGTAAAATCTGAGCGCAATCAGCACCTGCAAGGTTGGGGAGAGCGCACCGTTTCTGTCTGATCCNCCAATCAAATCCTGTTTATGCAAATCTGACAGTTCAAGCGCTAGCCAATCAAACCACGTGCAAGCTGGGACAGCCAGACCGCAGTTCATTTATTCCAAACGAGAAATTACGGAAGCAAATCACCCGGTTCTTTACGACCAGAACTATTTACTGGGATACAAACCGGAGGAACCAGGCACGGAGGGAGGTGGCAGAGACAGTGGGTGAAACTGGTAGGTTTTCGCCTGTTTGGGGAGTTTATATATATATATATATNCCACCGAAAGCTTCAGAAGCTTCAAAAGTTGAACATTGCTCAACTTTTGCAGCCTGAAACGCCAGGAAAGCTCCACTCTGCTACCCACAATTCAGTTCGGCGAAAAGCGAGGCAACGTGACGTCACCCCATTCAAAGTGAATGGGCAGACGCCATGGAAACCGTTTTTGAAGCTGTCGAAGCTGTAGTGTGGACGGGCCGTTAGAAAGAAACAAGCAGTTCTTACTTTCTGAGGATGGCCTGGAGAACCTGCAGCTGGGATCCTCGGTCCTCGTTGATTCCAACATAAACCAGTTTATCAAACCTGAAGAACAAACAAAGACCACAAGGTGTTTAACATTTCACAGACACAACTGTCACATGTGTTTGGAACTAGAGGAAGTCAAACAGGATTGAATATGCCTGGGCTCAATGGGATCGTTATATCCTTAATGTGGGAAACAGCACGTTTATTCCAAGGTTTTACGGTACTTTAACTTCAACAGACTAAAGCTTCCCGAGATCACAATAAATATTCTGCAAGGATTGAAGTTTTCTGCGTGTGTGTGTGACCTCTGACCTGCCGGGCCTCAGCAGCGATTGGTCGAGCAGATCTGGACGGTTTGTGGCTCCGATGACAAAAACCCCGACGGACGACTGCAGGGCGTCGAGCTCGGCCAACAGCTGAGACACCACTCTGGACGAGAGAGTCAAACACACTTTTATATTCTTAAAAAGGCAAGCACACGGCACACGGCCAATCTGTTTTGTGACGTAGAAGTCAAATGTAACAGATGGTTTGATGTAGGACGCACACAGATACTGATGAAGACACCATTTCTGGTCCCCGTTATCTCTGACTGGTGTTTTGTTGTAGCTTGCTTTGTAATCAGCTCAGGTAAACCCTCACCTGTCCATCACCCCCCCAGAGTCCCCGCTGCGCCCCCTGCTGGGAGCCAGAGAGTCCAGCTCATCGAAGAAGATCACACAGGGTGCTGCTGAGCGGGCCCTGAGGAACACTGGACACACACACGTTCATTCATCTCACACATCCACCAAGCTGAAGAACACCAGAATGACCCTCGAGATAAAACAGACCTTCTCTGATGTTCTCTTCACTCTGACCCACGTACATGTTGATGAGCTCTGGGCCTTTCACACTGAAACACACACACTACAAATGTTAGCAGAGCACTTTAACCAACATTTACTAAATATAGGCTCGGAGAATTGATTTATATAACCCATTTCAAAATGAGGCATCAAAGTGCTTTACAAAAACACAAATCCTTGAAATGAATTCTGACTGGTTCAAAGAAATGGTGGTAGAAAAATGTTCAAACCCCCGAAGTGTTGTCCTACCTGAGGAAGGTCATGGAGCACTCAGTGGCCACGGCTTTGGCCAGCAGGGTTTTCCCGGTCCCTGGGGGTCCGTAGAGCAGGACCCCGGTCCGGTTCAGACCCAGAGACAGGAGCTCCGGGCGCTGCAGAGGGAGCTGCACCGTGTCCAGGATCTCCTTCTTCACCTGATGAAGACCTCCAACGTCCTCCCAGCGCACATCAGGGATCTGTCACACAACAGCAGCACGTTTAGAGATGATTACATCATGTTGGGGAACCCATAGCTTTGACCCAGTGTATCAGTCTGCACTGCCCTCACTGAGCTCAGGCCTGTCACCTTGGCTGCTGAGCTCTCAGTGTGTGGACTCCCTGTTCCTGCCTGTTGGCGTCAGCTGATAGAGGTTAGAGTGCTCTGCCTGTTTTAGCTTGTTGATTCTTCTCTCAGAACTAGCTAAACACATGGGTCTGGGGTAGAGATTACATGACATGACACTTGTTAGACGCTTTTATCCAAAGCGACTCACATACTCAATACTGTGGGCAATCGCCACAGGAGCAATTTGGGGTGAAGTGTCTCAGGGACACAACGACATGCTGACTGCAGTGGGGTTTGAACCTGTGACCATCTTATCCCCAGACTAAGGCTCTATCCACTGCGCCACACGCCTCAAGAGATCTAACCCTAACCCTCCCTCCGAAGCTCCAAATAAACCGTCAGTGTTTGCCATCAAAGCTCCTGCTCTCCTCGTGTCTCTCTGAGTCCCGTCTCCATTGCTTCAGAAGCTTCCATCACACATTCAAAGGCTTGTTGTGTCACCTTGGGGGCTCCGATGGCCGTGGACTGGGCCTCCTGCAGGGTCTCCAGGGCCGAGGAGAAGTCCTGGTTCAGGATGGTGACTCCACTGGAGCACAGATCCTCCTCCTGTCTGCCCCGACTATACACACACACACACACACACACACACACACACACACACACACACACACACACACACACACACACACACACACACACAACACACACACACACACACACACACACACACACACCACACACACACCACACACACACACACACACACACACACACACCACACACACACACCCTTTATTTGCACATCTCCAAACATCCTTGCACTGTAATCTGTTCTATTGTTCTGTGCCTATTCCTGTGACCTACGTTCTCCTTGCCATATCTACACTGTAACCTAATGTGCTAATGAGCTAATGTGCAATGAGGCTAATGCGGCTAATGTGGGCTAATGAGGCTAATGACAACAAAGGCGGGAGAACTGGAAACAATAATGCGGTTCAATTAAAAGAAATAGTCCTTGCACAAAAGCGAACTGAAACACTGTGCATGGTAAGGACTCCGCTGCTAAATGTATTAAGACTAAAAAGAAAACAAGAAACGAGGCGTAAGAAAGAAGCTTCTCCAAAAGAGAGGACATCCTTATGCCAGATTAGCTATAATGGCTTGTTTCAATTTGCTTCGTTCAACTCTGCAGACCCGGGCAGGGCTGGGGAAGCTGGAGAGGCTGGAGGAGCTGAGTGATGTGAGTGAGTCAGAGTTTAAGCAATGTTTGAGTATCCCTACAGGGCTCATCAACACTCCATGTCTCAGTCTCACACGGTCGAAGGAGGCCTCTGCATGCGCCGCGCCCCGCCACTCCCTCCAACAGGCAGAGCGTTCAGATCCCCCAACCAAACCCCTGAGGAGGCAGGAAAGAGGAGGAGGAAGCGGAGGAAGAGGAAGCGCATCAACTGAAGAACACACTCACAGTCCAGGGTTTCACACTAACTGCGCCCGTCCACCACAGCTCAAAAAAAGCTCGCCGGCCAGCGTCGTCGAAGGCTCAGACCACAGCCAAATCACATGAACTCCCGCTTCCGCCCTGACACACAAGGCAGCGGTTTGATGCTAGAGCCTGTACTCGCATATATTTGATTGGCTGACGCTTCACCGAGAAGGCTTCAAGAACAAAAGCTCAAAAGTTGAAACATTTGCTGCAACTTTGGGGCAGGCCTGAAACGCCAGGAAAGCTCCTCGCTACCGCACAATCAGTTGCGCTAAAAGCGAGGCAACCTGAAAGTGACGCGTTGACAATCCGTTTTTTGAAAGCTGTTCACAGCGGAAGTGTGGACGGGGCCGTAAGACTAACAAAAATCACAGGGGGTTCATACACTTTTCACAAAAAATGATTTGTCCATGACCGAAAGAAATGACTCTTCTCCGCGTAAAGCACTGAAAATGGTTTATTTTAACATGGAACAGGAAAAATAGAGGTCTGCATATGGAAAGCGATGCTTTAAGCTTACTAAAACAGAAATCAAATAGGAGGCTGTTACTNCGGACGTAGCTAAGCCCGACGTTAGAGTTAAGACCTACTTTTTTACGCCCAGCTGGTGCACTCCACTCCTGTAACTCATTTGTTTAAAAGAACAGCAATTCATGAACAACTTGGGATTTGAGAGATAATGCAACATCAACCATTCAACTATTAGTTTACACCTTACTCTACTTTGCTAATTTGCATTTCCTGATTAACTGTTAAATGAATAGAACTATAAACACCAAATTCAGGATAAAGCATTGGAAGAGATGGATACTTATATCCACCACAAATGAGCAAGATCAATTTAAAAACATGGCCACCATTAACTTTAAACGTCATCACAAAAGGTTTGGCGAAGAAGGAAATGCCTATAAGTCATGACAATTTATCAAATCATCATAAATGTTTGTAAATATGTTATATGTCCCAAAGGTGGCAAAAAAAATAAAATAAATGTGCACCTCCGAACTTGGTGGACAGAATTTCCTCAAATTCGGTGCACATGCTCCGTTGGCCAGTATTAACAAAGATCTGAAGTGTCATAAATGCTGATGAATGTGGGCGTGGCCTATATAGCAATATGTGTGACACTATCCATTTGCTCTATTTGCCAGGAGCTGCTGCACTGAGACATAAAACGTGGTGACATAAGTGAAAGTCCTGATGGAAAAGAGGCAAATGACAGTCAAACATGTGAAAACTTTTAAAGACAGGCCTTACAGCCCCGGGTGTGTCTAATTGACTCCACCTTTTATACACAATTTCATCTTAATGTGCTCTACCAAAGACTCCAGGACAATAAAAGTCACCATGATGGATGAGTAGCTCATTTGCATAATAAGAAAAAACAGTTGAATGATGACTCAATTAACACCAATTTGAAAATGTCTGCACAAAGGGCGGGAAAAAGACTGTTACTCACGCACTATATTCTGAATACACACAATAAATGGTGTTATAGTGGCATTCAGGGTGGCAAAATGAAAGGACTTTGCCATTTTTTAAATGCTGCATTCATTATAATGATAAAACAAGAGTGATTTCTCTCGCCTCTTCTTCAGACCGAATTACACCAATTGACTTTGTTCAGCTTTGTAAAGCACAACACTTGCGATGTACTGCTTGCTAGCATTCCCTGACAATTTAAAAGCTGTTTTAAACCATGCCATATCCTAACTTTTGTACAAATATCCTGTTAGTCTTTAAAAATGCATATCTTTCAAACCATGACTCCTGCTGTCACCGGGCAGAAAGCCTTTAAGCTTCAACTAGACCAGCACTTTGTACAGTTATCTGTGGATGAGAGGCTCCAAACAGTCCATGATAACCCTGTGGTGAAAGGTTTTTTTCTTTCTCTTGTCAGGAGGGAAAGGAGGCAGATGGAGGAATATTCATAAAATGGGAATATTCATAAAATCCTAGAAAGACAATAAATCACTCAGGAGAGGCAACGCCTGAAGACACGCGCACACTCTGTGGGTGGAAGGGTGGATGAAGGATGGGGAGAAACTTGTGCATAAAGGAAAGATGCAAAAAACAAAAGAGACAGCTGATCAGAGGAGATGAGGAGATGCTGCAGGAAATAAAAGTAGACTGAAGGGAAGAGAAAGACATGAAAAAAGAGGTAGTGATTTTACAACAGGGTATCATGCAGGGTTTTCACATGTTTTAACCCAAATCATTTGCAGTAAAAATGTAAATAATTGAATTAAATACAAATGAATCATTACATGTGATACAACATAACTGGCATACACATGCATGTTTGTTTTCTGTATTTCACATATCATAAAATACTAGATTCAATAGTTTTCAACTTAAACATTCTGAGTTAGCACAGAGGAAACCAAATTCATGTCCTCTGATTTATACTGTATCTTTGTTACATTTTGCAGTCTGAAAAATATCTGTGTACCGTATTTTCCGGACTATAAGTCGCACTTTTTTTCCTAGTTTGGCTGGTCCTGCGACTTATAGTCAGGAGCGACGTATATATGTTTTAAATGTCAATTCATGCTGACTGACATGAACCGTCTACAGCCACCAGAGGGCGCTCTAGGCTTGTGACAACTATATGCTGCTCCTGTACCACTGAAAAAAACGAAGAAGAGAGCGGACGGTTCTTCCGGGTTAGCTGCTTGTTAGCCATCTGTTGTTAGCCGTCTTGTTAGCTTGTTAGCCGTCTGTTGTTAGCCCGCCGTCTTGTGTCCGGTGCGGCGCAGGGTCCACCCCTACCAGCCCAGCGGCCGAATGCTCAGTGGGTGCGTCCGAGATGCCCCGTCTGTCCCAGCAGTCCTCCGTCGGAGCGCGTCAAGGGGTAGAAGCATGCCACCCTAGCCCGACTCGCAGAGCCAGCCTCCAGGTAGAAGGTATGTGTTGCGTTAACATACCGGACCTGTGTAGTTAATAACTTCCCTTTCCAGTTTACCGTAAATGTCTGTTATTGGCTTGGATTTGAAAATAAATATCTGAATAAATACGACTTATAGTCCGGTGCGACCTATATACGTTTTTTTCCTCTTCACGACGCATTTATTGGCTGATGCGACTTATACTCAGGAGCGACTTATAGTCCGGAAAATACGGTAAGCACATATACCGAAATATGCCCATGGACTGTGGGCCACCTCACAGGCGTAGAACGAGTTATCCCACATTGTTTTAAATATGACACGAGGAGTCATAGTGATAAAAACCACACCTAGAGAGCAAAGAGCACTTTCATAGCAAAGCAACTTAAAATGAAAGCGATCAAGGTTTTCTGACTTTCAAAAAACAACAAAAAAAAACGGCCACAGCTGACATTAAATTGGCATCATGACTTATTTCAAGCAGGGCAGCTGAGTTTTGGACATATTGAAGTTTTTTCAGTACGAATGCAGGTGATCCAAAAAGTATGCTGTTGCAGTAATCCAGTCGGGATGTTATAAAGGCATGGATCAGAGTTTCAGCAGCGGTCGATGAGAGGGAGGGTCTGATGCCGGCGATGTTCTTTAAATGGAAGAAAGCGTTTTTTGTGACCTGGTTGACGTGAGGGAGGAAAGTGAGGGTGGGGTCGAGGATGATGCCAAGGTTACGGATGTGAGTGGAGGGGTTGACAATGGAGCCTTTGATGGTAAGTGAAAAATCTTGGATTGAGCGGGTAAGTGAGTTTGGTACCTTTATCAGAGGGTCCTTAGCAACGGTCTGTTATTGAGCAAGAGCAGACCATTGAATGTCCAAATTGACCAATCAGAATTGAATATTCATCTAAACCCGTGTTTGGATCAATATTCTAGATAACCTTTGGAAACCGTTTCCTATTCTACATTGTTTTCTGATTCAATGGATCGCATCTCATGAAAAGGAGTTCAAGTATCTTGGGGTCTTGTTCTCGAGTGAGGGAACAATGGAGCGTGAGATGGGCCGGAGATTCGGAGCAGCGGGAGCGGTACTGCAGTCGCTTTACCGCACCGTTGTGACGAAAAGGGAGCTGAACCAGAAGGCAAAGCTCTCTGTCTACCGGGCCATTTTCGTTCCTACCATCACCTATGGTCATGAAGGATGGGTCATGACCGAAAGAACGAGATCGCGGATACAAGCGGCCGAGATGAGTTTTCTCCGGTTGGTGTCTCCCTTAGGGATAAGGTAAGAAGTTCAGTAATCCGGGAGGGACTCGGAGTTGAGNCCATTTAATCGGAAAGACTGGAGAGAGCGAGCTCTTCTTGGGAGGTCGTTGCATTTATTTAGCTCTTGTGTTCGCAAGATAGCTTCGCAAGATCGCAGACCTTCCTTTCTGCTGCCTCGTTTACTTCTAGAAAAACATGTATCCCCCCGCTCGCTCTGCACGCGCCACACCCCTCTCTTAAAGGGGTAGCG